GTAGTCGCGAAAGCCTACTCATTATTCTTTCATAGTGTATAGAATGTATAAAGTCTATGGTATAAGGCTGGGAATTATAATGACTCCTATGACAGAGGACTTCGGACAAAGTGCGTCCGACTAAATGGCCCTGACAACAAGACCAAGTTACGAAAATTAGGTCAACTCGCTTTTTCATTTTTTTCACATTTCACAGCAAATGTCTAATTGACGACGCATTGTCTGCAGAATCCACTTATTGCGCTCTATATTTTTTCCATGACAAGGCGAATTTAAGTCATCTAATCGCAACGAAAGCCGACAAAGGTGGAGCAGTGGTAGTCATGGCTAAGTCAAGTTATGTAGAAAGAATGCTAGTTTATTTAACTGACGCGTATAGGCCATTACTGAGAGACTAAACAGAGAGACTTAACACTTGGTTAAAGGATGCCCTTAAGGTATGAGTAAGTAATGATTAAATGGAGAAGTGAAAAATGAATTAAATACTCCGTGTCCCCACGGCTTACTGTCTCTCTTATGTTCACAAAGAAGGTGTCCCTCTAAGATTAATTGTAAATAATAAAGGAAGCGTGATTCATAAAATCTCACGGAACTCTGCCAATTATTGGCTATATTCAGTTGGAAATTCGTATTATTTTGTGGAATTGCTAGATCAGCAGACAATTTCAAAAGAAGATAGGCCAGTAAGATTTGACCTTGTGCGTATGCACACAAATATTCCTGTCCAAGGAGCTATTCAAGCTCTGATACAAACTCCGAGTGTAGCTTCCATTATTAGACTTATTAACCTATCCATGAGTAGCACATATTTTAACTTTGATGGTAAGTTATACGAACAAGCACAAGGATTAGCGATGGGATCTTGTCTGTCTTCCATCTTAGAGAACAATCATATGGCAAGATTGGAGGAACACTTCTTGCAAGAGGCAATACTGACCCCTAAATTGTCGGTTAAATACATGGATGACTATTTTGTCATCTGGCCTCTTGATAAGGACAGTTTAGATACTTTCCTACTTTCACTCGACGAGCGTGAAAGGAACATTAGATTCACGATAGAAATGGAAGAGAATAAGTCCTTACCCTTTACGGATGTTCTGATTATTAGAGAAGAGATGTTTATAGAAAGCCAACATATGTTGACTCTTTGCTTAATTTTATTTCCAACCATAGTTACAAGATTAAGGTTGGAATTATCAAGTCAATGATTCTTAGAAGTATGAGGCTAGCGGATAGCAAGCATTTGACTAGAGTTG